GTATCGTAAGTGTCCTCCATAATGAACTCAAGGCAATTTCTTGGACTTTCATTAATTGAGTGTCTCAAAAAAGCTAAAGTTCTTTTACATTGGCAGGTTATGTTCGCAGGTTCGCAGGATATGTCCACGTTGGATTCACAGGATTTTGCTTCGGAGGTCATAGGGTCGTCCACATTTGGGAGACATTTTCCATTTGTCATGGGGTCATTCACTTTTCAGGAGGTTATTCGCCTCGGGGAGGAAATTCTATCCTGAGGCAGCCAATGGGTTGGTGCTTATGACAATAGAAAAATTCCTCCCCACATTGCCCTGACATGACCCTAAGCCACAAGCATGTAGCCGCTCATTTAGCAGTGGGCTGTGATGGCTTATCCATATCTGGTTCTAAAGGTGGAATCTAAACTACAAATCTTGTGAGAAAGTGATTTTTCGTCAATCGTGTTATTGTTGAGATGTAGGGGGAGAAGGACGGCGTCTGATGGAAAGGGAGGCGTATGATAAGAGGTATTATCAATTGCGTACGTTTGTCTTCCTTAAATATGGTCAAACAGCCAAAAAAAATTATACCACTGGCTAGGGCAGACTCTGCACTACAAATCTTGTTTGAATGTGGTTTTTCGAAAACCAGACCGTTTTCGAGATAAAGGAGGGAGAAGCGAGGCAACCCTTCGCGGTCCATTGTTGAATACGGGAGCACGTGGCATTGTTTCCCGAACTCAACTGCTCTCCGTCCACAGCCAATCAACGCACAGCTGCGCAGAATCCACTTGGACTCCGTATTAATACAATAAATACTCGGTTATAACTTGGTGCTTCTCCCCACGTTCACAACTGACTGCCTATTGACTTTTGCATCAACTAGATAGCATACGCATTATTTGTTGAACGCATAGTTATCGTTGTCATTACATGTCCCGTACGCTACTTTCTTGACTGAAAATAACGCTGTACCAACTGCGTTCCTATTTTAATCTGGATCCTGGAACACTCGGGATCTCTCGGATCCGATTAAGAAGAACATGAAAAGCAAATACGGGCTACCAGACAAACTATCGTAACATAAATAATAGCAAATTCGGAATTTTTTGTTCAGTGAAGAAGCGTGCTTGTAGCAGCTGTCCATCGTTGCTTCAAAAGCAACCTACAAGGTTCACCCAACAATGCATCGCATGTGGATCCTTTTTGGAATGGTCTTAGCGAAATGGCCGTCAACTGGTGGGTTCATGTCTGCACTCATAATAGGTAATTGGTGTGCGATGGATATTTTATTCGTTTCGTTATTGAAATATGTAATGTGGTGGATGGAAGAGACTTCCTTAAAACTTCCTGTTTCCTAGTCTGCTTCATCTCAGCTCATATCCCTAAATAATGGGACGTCCGTTGCAATCTAATTTATATTATTTATAATTTCCAGAATAATTATTAAATTATTTTGGGTTGTAATGCCAAGGAAGCATTTGAGAAGCACTGTATATACATATTGTCTGTGGGTTAATTTTACAGTTTCTAAGTGTTACCAATGAGCAAATTTTTTCCTGATAGATTTATGACCGAAATTCCAACTGTTGCTGAGTGGATCTTTTAATTTTTTTGAACTTGAGCTTCACTATTTATCATATAAACGAAAACTTCAGACCAGTTACTCCAATGTAGGAAACATAAAATCCGCGCAACAGCCATAAAAATAAGGGAACGTGCGAACAGAGGCAAATCATCGATCTATAGCCTGAGCGAATTCCTTCCTCTAGTTCAAGAATGATGTCATTATCGTTCATGCATTCATATTCCACTTTCCATTCCCCCAGTATATTCGAGAATTCGTTTCCCCCCATATAGATGATACAAATTAAGGGCTAATGAGGGTAAGCCACATTTTGCAGTTTCAGAGCTCTTCCGAAAGTTTGAGAATTAGTTTGCCTTCTCTGATGAAGACATTTGGGGTAACAAGGAAATTCTGTAATTTACAAGATCCCATCCTGGGGCCTTAGGATCCACGTACAGAATTTCGAATTTTTGACCAATATGCTTAGAACTCATGACCCAATTGCACAGGTAGCAACGTTAAGCAGAGGCATTTGTTAATTAGCTTAAATGACTTGAAAAAATGCAACTAGGGTGCTGCACTGAGGCATATCCTGCCTTTCCGCACTGGACGTCGGTAGTAATAATTGCCTAGAGGTTTGGGTGAATCTTATGGTTATGGGAATACAGCATATTTCTCCTGAGCTATAAGCTACAGGTACCAGTGTATAAGCATCGCAAAACGCCGTGGCAAAATCAAGAATCATCGTGATGGCTGCAAGGACTTTTACCCCTAATGAACGAAAAGCATGCATGCCTTGGTTGTAATGCTTGCTCATTTCTCGGATATCATGGAACCTTTTGACGGGAACTTGAAAATTCGCATCAAAATTTGCATCTGTCTGCAACAATGACCAATATTATCCGGCCCACAGAAACCGTTGACTTCGAAGAGCCATGGAATAAGATCATTGGCCAGCTTCAACTACAGTGTTTCGCTGCAGTAGATAGGATTTAACCCTTATTCGGGTAAGGTATTTTTGTGACACGAACGGGCAAGGCCAAATATTTTTAGAATTTTTTCCTTTAAAGCAAATCCAAACTTTAAAAGTTCGTTTCTGAATCTATGGATGACTGTCTATGAAACCCATATCAAATTTGAAGAATATTTAGAAAAATTTGCGGAAAGTAATGAAATGAAATATACCCTGGGGGAGTCCAATGGCCCCCCTTTTCCTGATGAGGGTTAAGGTGGGAACTTAGACTTCCACTTCCCATTACGAGAGCATTGATGACAGCTCTATCGCCCCAGGCCACAGGAAGCTAAGGAATACTGAAATCGCTCCTAGGGGGTCAGCCTTCTGTAGAGACTACCGTAACAGAAGTTCTCAGCTTGGTTATTTAGGAAAAACATTTTCACCCCGATTTTTTATAGGTATCATCAAAGAATGAAAGTTTGAGACAGTCTCCGTAAACGCCGAAAGCACAAAAAAAGGTGAAACGGTGAAATGAAACGAAATTGTTCAACGAAAACAGCAAGTCAATACGAGAGTATGGTAATAATAACATTTCCCTAGTAATGTAACGTTTGAGGCCTAAACGAGCCATAACTAGCTCATGCACACTGGAATGACTCATTCATTGAGAAGAATAACTTATATATTCTCTCAAGAATGTTGATTTTTTAAATTCCTATTCAAGCTTCCAATAAAGCTACGCTTGCTTGAGATTTCAATCTCTGAAACAGTATCTTGATCTCCTAGTTCCTATGAAGAGCAGCAGGACATGTTTGGAGCTTCTCCTTCCTTCCTCAAGCATAGCTTTTGTCATCATCCACTGTGCCATAATCACGCTAGCATGACCGGAGGTCCAACAAGAGCCTCCCGTATTTGCAGTCTCTAAGCAACAGCGATCCTGGGGCCTTATTCACGAAACAATCTTACGAATTTTTTTCATCGTAAGAGGAAAAAAGTTCGTAAGTGGTATTCACGAAACATTTTTGCGTAAGAACTTCGTACGAGATTTCGTAGGCAGTTCGTAAATTGCTGGACAATATCGGTATTCACGAAAGGGCAAAAGTTCGTATCTTTCTTTGTAAGTCTACGATTGGTCCGGAGGTATCGTATGTGTCCGCCATAATGAACTCAAGGCGATTTCTTGAACTTTCATTTATTGAGTGTCTCAAAAAAGCTTAATTTCATTTACACTGGAGGGCTCACAGGATATGTCCACATTAGATTCACACGATTTTGCCCTCTTTTCTCCAATTCTCGAAATTATTCTCTGACACAATTCGAGCAATGGAGGAGGAGGTCCACCTCCTCCTCCAAATCAGTACCCTGATTTCCTCACTTGAGAAATTTGGTCGTCGGCCACTCCTCCTCTCTCCATGATTAAACATTTCGATACTGTACCCTCTAAGCTTCCTTCGGCATTTCTTCGGCCTTAAGGTAGTTTGCTTTACGATTAGATTCAGTGGTACGGAACTATAGCATGTTTTTCTAAAGATTCGGCAGAACGTCCAATTATGTCAAAACTTCCTCTAAGGGCGAAAACTGTCACAGTAGACGCAGGAAGTTTGCAGAAGGCCTTTGTGACAAAGACGTGAGTCATGCTGCCAACGTGATAAGCACGTTGCTCTCCACTCTGTGATTGGTTTGCAAGCTCACGAGATCAGCTATGATTGGTCGGCTCATTATCATAGCTACGAAGTTTCGTGAATACCGACAGAGTTCGTAAGAGTGAAACGAGGACTTACGAGTTTCGTGAATACCAAAGATACGAAGTTCGTACGAATGTCGTAAGAATATGTCATTCTTACGACGTTTTCGTGAATACGGCCCCTGAAGTGTTGTGTACTGAATTGGATATTTTCAGCAAAATCTGACCATTTCTATTCATGAAACCATGGGCAAGGGTTGGTAAGGATAATTCTCAGGTCTAGCAGATTCTATTTCATTCCAAATTCTCTGCTTGCATTTTGAGGAAATGAGGGATGCATCAAGTGCCTTCTGTGGAAGGAGTTTCATGCAGTCTGTAGAAAAAATTCAATCCTTCAGGTAAGATTAATTCACAGTCATTTATAGTTCAAGTTTTCTCCCTGAAAGTGTTGGTATGCCTTTCCAAAGATGGACACTTTAGTACCTTGGAGTGATCCAGTTTCATTCCCCATAGGGTCTCCTTAACACTAGCTTCAGTTCAAAGTGCAGATTATCAATGTCAGGCTGGGGTAAATAGGTTCCCAGTGCCACACCTACTCCTGCCCCAGGAGGCTCATGCCACTGGTGCTTGGACAATCTTTTTTGAGCAGGCTTGTGACTCACTCTGGTATCAAAGCAGAAAAAAGTTTTCCCTGTGGTAGGCATCCACCCACACATAAAGCACCACTTTTTTCTACAATAGGTCTAGGGTCTAGGTGCATGCTCACAATTGCCAGGATTCACTGCTTTCTATTCCCCTCAATTATAAAATTTTATAAAATGGCAGTGAGTGACTTTTTGGAATATAGACATAGGCACACCAGTGTGCCTCTGGTAAACATGGAAGCCTGAAGCTGGTGTCAGAACAGAAAGTTAGAATGAAAGAATGAACGTGAGATGTAACATGGAACATCATCTCTGATTTAGTGTGACTTACTTCTCATAGGTGGTGAGGGACTATTCAACCCCATCACAGAAGGAGTTGAAAAGGGATTTGGAGACTCACCTGGAGCACTATGTTGGTTATCTCAACCAGTGTAAGCCATTGTCTGTATCCATGATCAATTCCATTCGGCATCTTAAGATGAAGATCTCCAACATCCATCCTGGCATACCAGAGATTCAGGTCCTTCACTTATTCCTTGTCCTTGTCTTTCAACAGTAAAGTTTTACTCTAACAATTGTGCTTGATTTCAGGCCAAGGAGGAATTGTTGGTTGCAATAGGTGATTATGAGAGAGAGAAGATACTTTTGGCTGAAGAAGCAATTTCCCAGACTGCCATTGAGAAAATTGCTGATGGCGATGTTATCCTCACCTATGGGTGGTAAGACAGAGTTGTATGTGGCATTCTGCTTAAAGAATAAGATGATGGCATCTGATGGAAGTTTCTTTATGATGTGTCCATCACTAGTTCCTCCTTGATCACAAGCTTATTGATCAATGCCCGGAAGAAGGAGAAAAAATTCAGAGTGATCCTGCTTGATGGTCGGCCATATCGTCGGGGGGTACACACCTTGAGACGATTGATGGCCAATGATGTACCCTGTTCCTATGCACTTGTTTCTGCCATACAACCGCTCATCAAAGAAGTAAGTTCTGGAATTTTTTTAAGAAATGATTCTATAATGTAATTCTTGGATTTTACACCTGGATGGTCTTTATTCCATGTCATGTAAGAATTGAATATTCTGATTGACTTAATTTATTTATAGATTCATTTCATTGTCCATTTTTTTTTACTGATGTTGGGGTCATCTCAAAATGCATGAAGTTCACCCAAATTCACTATAAACTCAATTGCTATTGTTTTTTGTTACTTCTATTGTCAACAGCTGCATTTGAGTTCATTGACAACATTTTTTAAGTAAGCCTAATTGGTTTGTTGCCTTCATCTCTCATGGATACAAGACCTGCCATTTGCTATGATACAGGCCAACAAAGTGTTTCTTGGTGCCCATGCTCTACTGGCAAATGGGAATGTGATGTCTTCAATTGGGAGCAGTCAGGTTGCATTGGTTGCTCGCTCACACAATATTCCAGTCCTCGTCTGCTGTGAAACATACAAGTTTTGCGAAAGGGTGCAGAGTGACGCTTTTGTTTACAATGAACTTGGTGAGTCCTTCTAACCATTCAGGTTCTAAGTGCCATCCTCTAATGCACTGGAGAGTTTTCACAAACCTTCATGCTATCATAGGTGACCCTGGAGACCTGATTGGGCCTGATGAAGGTTCAGAGTCTCTGCGATGCAAGTGGAAAGACCTTGATGCACTGTATATTCTGAATCTCCAGTATGATGTCACCCCTGCTGATATGGTTTCAGCTGTGATCACAGAACTTGGCATGCTTCCTTGTACTTCTGTACCTGTTGTGCTTAGGCTCAAGTATGGGTGATTTGGTTTCTGCAAGTGAGTGTTAATCCTCAAGTGCTTCAATTTCATAGTGGGTTAGGTATCCTCATTCTAGATTATTTTCTCATTCAGAAATGTGTGAGACAATACACTTTTTTTAAATTAAGACTTTGTTCATATTTGTCTTCCATGGCCAGGTGTCTAGAAAGTGTGCTGGTGTGTGGCAGTGTGGTCAGGATTAACTTATTGTTTTCCTGTTTCATGAAACCCCAAATGATATGGTGATGTGGTCTTAATTACTGTTTTGAATTTTGAGGTGATTTTTGATGGAATGAAAAAACATCTCTATTTCTAATACATCATTAGCTGAATGCAACCAATGCAAAGGAACTAAGGAGATCCATTGTCAGTTACTACCTTAATCAATTTGCAGGTGATTCAATAGACTTGTTAAGCCCAGTAACTTCTCAGGAAGCACCATTTAACAAGTGCTCCTAGCAGACTGTAGCTGTATCTGCTGTGCTCCATCTATTTTCTGATGATGTAAAACATGACAGTCTTTTTTCCTGTGACCAGCAAAGGGTGTTTCATGTGGGGAACTCACTCACATCTTCCCAGCTAAATTGTTCACTTTCTGCCCTTTGTATACAGTTAAGTATGGGTTGAAGCCCTTTCCACTCACCCCAACCCATCTCACATTCACATTAGGACTCAGTGTTGCCAATTGCATGGCTGTGTCCTCCCAGCCCTGTAAATCCTTGTATCCCAACTGCAATGCTCAAAATTTTGCAACCTACACACACACATAAACAATGCATACAGCTTAGATTGAAATCTTCATAATTGTGTGCAGACATCCTCTTCTGATAACTTTTTTTGAGTTGAATGCATAAAGATATTGCTGACTGCAAATTATTTGTTTATTTATTTTTTCATTAGTGTTATCTGGTTTTGAGAAAAAAAAGCAAACATTGTCTTTCCCTTTGTAGAATCCATTTCCAGACAGAAATGAGAGCATCAGTATATCAGTGTCCATTCCTTTTTCATGTTATGACTGGAACAGTAATAAACAATCTAATGACCAATCTCATTGGCAGCCCTTAGCTACTAGACAGTGAACATTTTTATTTGCACAGCAGAGGAATAATTATGTGAGGTGATGACCATCAGAGGCAGGGAAAAATACTTCAGGCTAAGAAAAGTGCTAGTTGAGGCATCTTCATGCTTTTGTAATCATGTGTAGATGTGTCAGGCATTTTAAAGTATATTTTTAACTTTCCATGGTAGTAGGCATGAAGAGATTTTGCATTTTGAAGTCATGAGTGTGCTAATGTTATACATTAGCATGCTCATGACATGTCATGATCAGGAGTAACTGGAGGAAACCTGATTATATGTGGAACCAATTTTATATTGTCCTTTCCCTCCACCACCCTTTTTTTACTTCCATAATCTTCAGAAGATATATCAGATTTCAAACAGGAGTTCAACTTCGAAACAAATAAAATTGGAGACCATTGCATTAACCCTAGGGGGGAAGGTGGCACAAGTATTGTTGATTGTAGGACTTGCACAAGCACAAGCAGAGCCTTACTAATGAGAAAATAAGAATGGAAGGAGGGAAAGATGCAAACATGATGAACGAAAGAAGGAAGTAAGCTTTGAATATAAGCTGCTTTTTTCAAAGGTTTCATGATTCACATTGTCTAGGATATGCATTCATTAGGACACCTAGTAGCATTCATTTGACATAGACCAGGGGTGTCAAACTCGCAGCCTGTGGGCCGGATCAGGCCTGCCAATTCATTTTCTCCAACCTGTGAAGTTGTCTTCAACAGTTGGTTTTGGAAAAATTCTGCTAAATTTCACTTCTTTGTGTGAAAAATGCAGTGTGAGATTTCTTATTGAGGCCCTCAACCACCTCTGAACCAAATCATTTTATCTCTACCTAATTGAGTTTGTCACCCCTAACATTGACAATTCTTGGCCCCTACCTGAGATACTATGCCTATCCCATTCTTGAACCAAAAAATGAATAGATGAATTGCAGTGCTGAGTGTCATAAACTTTGAATAATATTGCATGCATTCTTGTCACTTTCAAAATTTCATGTTTTTTTGTGCATTCTTCATATGTAAGTGGAATTATTTGAAGATGGCAAATGTGAGGGTCATTAAGTTGGTTTTGTAGATCTTGAAATTGCTTCATTGGATTATGTAGTGAAGCATGACCTGAATGCCTTGAACAGAGAACATCAACAGATGGAGAAAAATGTGGTTTAATGTTAATAGTGTCTAGTTCCATCTCCTGATATTTTATCCAAAATGATTTTTATTTCCAAAATCTTGTTTCTATCCATCACTGTGATCTCATACACTTAGCAACCTAGTGAGAATCTGTTTCTCAAGAAATGCTTTTTTTTATTTAGGAATTCTTCCAAATGCAGTTGTTTTCTGTTTCTTCCTATTTATAGGCAGTCATATGCCTGTGTTCATCTGGTGAAGACTATACCCATTTAAATTGGAATGAATAGATGAGTTTGTAAAATTGAAAATAAAGTGTTTGGTCTTTGTGAAATGTTTGGTCTTGAATTTATGTGTGATCAGGGGGCCATGCTGCAAATAATGTAAGCACTTGGCCTAGGAATTTCATCCTAAATAGAAACCCCAGCTTTCATACTTTTTTTTAATTTGGCACTATGCTCATTCTGCCTCTAGTTGCTTTTCTTTCATTGGCAACCCTTATAATAAATCATGATGTTGAGAAGATTGCTTGCATATGAGGCTCTTCATCAGTTATTCTGGCCCTTTCCTGAACTAAGCATTTATATGATTTTCATGTACTAGAATTCTTCCATATACCTGCATGACCTTTGCATGATGGACTAACAACGAATGTCAGGAATCGTTATTTCTGTGCTGACTACTGCTGACTTGTAGATGTAAATGCAGACTGTAGTAGCTTAACTGGAGTGTGACTTGGTAAACTCCTGGCAGGCTGCCCAGGGTGACTTACATTTAGAGAACTTTTTTTTATAAATAAATAATTTTTCTCTTAAAATTGACAACTCAGCAAAAACTTTATACCTAATATCATTGAGTTGTCATCTACCAACAGTTGCTATAACTACATGAGAGAGAGGATTATTCCTAAGTATTGGGAAAAGCCCACTTTTAGGAAGCACTTGACAGCAAAGGAAAGGCTAATCCTCTCAATATCCTCATTCATCCACAAGATTAAAGGAAACATCTTTGGGAACTGCTGCATGACATGTTTAGAGACAAGTCACATTTTCAGAGTTGTTAGATTGCCCATTCACCTCTCATGCTGGGTAAAATACCCAGTGATGGGCCACAGCACATTAAAATTGCAACTACTAAGCTTCCATAGCACGCTTACCCTTGTTGTAATGTAGGCTAGCAGCATGCAAGCACATACACACTTCAGAGGTGTTCATGCCATAAATTCCTAGTCTTTGGAGTTTTCCTGAGCCATGGCCCATCACTGAGTACATGCCCTTAACAGGCCCATCATTGGATACTTTACCCTACCTCTGCCTAATTTCATTGAAGAGAAAGGAGTCATTAATTTTCCAATATCCAGGAGAGCACCTGCTGCTATAGTAGCTGGGGAACTTGCAGTGATGGCAAAGAATGGAGAAAACCAGTAACTGAGCTGATGATATTTCATATTCAGTCCTTTGACATCCCTAATCTTCCCCAAGAGAGAATCCATCTATTCCCCTTCAACATCTCTAGGTGATATAACTCTTCCCTTTTTTTGGAATGGAAAGTCTAAATGTCAATTACCTCATTCATTTTCATTTTATTCAATCTTTTTATTGTTCAGAAAAACTTTTTTTTCCCCCAATACATGAACTGCACAAGAAACACATGGATAAATGAAGTTGTCATACTCACTCAGAATGTTGATGTGATTTGCAATGACTGTGAGCCACTTTCTCTGCCTTTTTTTAATCCTGGTTCCTGTCAGACCAATAGGGACTTGCACAGACCCTCTTTACATTAATCTAAGATTGAAAGCTGCCAATGTGCATTGACTATGAACCTAGTGAATGAAATATTGAACACTAATGCTGATTATAAACATTACACCATTGTTGCCTTTCAAGTCCTTAGCAATGCCTCAAAAAGTAACTCATTATTTTTTCCTTTTGAATTTTTCTGATTCTTTCCTTTTATTAACATTTTTTTTAAACATGGTCTTGCAACCTGCTGAGGACCAAGCACTCAAAGCTGAGAAGTACTGCTTAAAAATAAATAAGGTTCTGAATTATCTAGTGCTTCCTTGCGATTCTCCCTCCTTGAAAGCATGAAAACACGGGGCTTTGCACTCTGTATTCTGATTCACTTATCACAGGCATTTTGGAAACTTTCTCCTCCCACCAGTTTTCAGCAGTTGTTGGGAAACAGTTTTTGATGAAAACTATCGTGCTTTGTGCCAGAAATAAAAATGTCAAGTATTTATTATCTTTGTCGTCTGTTTATGTTAGGCCCTTTGTTGTTTCTTGATCTCAAAACTGATAATTTCAGTATAGACAAAGCAGGTTTCATGTATCGAGCAACTAGAACCTGCATGTGGAGATCATCGACAAAAGGATGCTCTTATGGTTGGTCCGTGAGACGTCTCTTGCACTGGTTGAACCCACACATTTGCATTGGGGAACCTGTTGCTCAGGCTCTGAAGGAGAAGAAGTCAGTTGTTGCTCTTGAATCCACCATCATCACCCATGGAATGCCATTCCCTGACAACGTTGAAGCCGCCCTCAGAGTTGAGGACATTGTGCGAGATGTTGTGCGTTGATTCTGGTTCTCTTTCCAAGTAACTGATTTGTTGTATCTGAGTCTTTTCTACTTGCGTGAAAGGGCTAAATTCTTTTTGAGCTAAAGGCCTGAATTTAGCTGTGTTTATTTTAAATCTGGCAAGGAAGATTGCTAGGCATGCCATTCTCCACCAATCAGATTTTTCAACATCTTTGCTGCCCTCCCTTTATCCAGGGAGCTACTCCAGCCACAATAGGAATACTGAAGGGGAAAGCATGCATTGGACTAAGTCCTGAAGCCATTGAAGAACTGGGAAAATCAAGTTTAGCTGGCAAATGTTTCAAAGCCTCTGCTCGAGACCTTCCCCATGTGATTCAGCAGGTTTTTTGCTTCATTCTCCAATCTCTTGCAGTTTTTTCCTTTTAGAATCCAGGCATACAACCTTAGAATAATTTCGTGATAGGGTGGAGATGGAGGAACAACAGTTGCAGGTACATTGGTCCTTGCACATTTGGCTGGAATTCAAGTCTTTGTCACTGGTAAGTATTGCCTCTTCATTTTTTGTTTTTAACATGAAGTGGATCATATTAAATCATAAAGGACATGAATTCATTTGCAATACCTAAATAAGGTGGAATTGGAGGAGTTCATCGTGGGGCAGAGACATCATTTGATGTCAGTGCAGACCTCATCCAACTGTCAAGGTCTCCTGTTGCTGTCATTTGTGCTGGCATCAAGGCCATCTTGGACATTCCCAAGACCCTTGAATTTTTGGTCTGTCAAATACTGAAGTATAGAGTATTCCAAAAGTCTTGCATTATAGAATTTTATCTTTCTTAAAAGAAGTGATGGAAGACAATTTGATGTGAAAGTCCACACACATTCAAAATATCCTGAATGTCTTTGAGATGCATTCCATATCTCATTGAACTTTCAAAAATTACTGTGTAAAAATCATCATTGAAAACAAGAGCTCCAGCGTGTCAGAGATGTGTAACAGTTGCTGGTGTTTCCTTGGACACTAGCTGAATGTCCTCTCTGATCTGCTGCCAGTTCCTTGGCTTCTTGGCTTGGGGACTGAAGAAGACTCAAGCAAATGAGCAGAAATGAAGTTTAGCTGGTAGCAGCTAAGGGAGGAATTTAAGAAGTTGTAGATCAAGTTTCAGGGATACATTGGCTGCCATTGCTAAAAATGCTCTCAAATGCTGGGACCAGTGTTTGTACTTGAACTGCCATCATATTTTCAGTGATTGACCTTTTATATCAAATTGCTTTTCATGACTGCTCAAAAAGCAAGAAACTCTCTACAGTACTACATCAAGTATTTTGAGCAGTCTCAAGACTGCAACATCAGAGGAGTAGTAGTAATAAAAACTGACAACAGAATGTGTTGTTGAAACGAGACCAGTGCTGATCCACAACAGGAAACCCAGGGAGTACCTGTGGCAGTACTTGGGCCAGACAAGCGGTTTCCAAACTTCTATTCACGAGACAGTGGAGTTGATGCTCCGTGGAACTTGGAAAACAGTGTCGCTGCTGCTCGTCTCCTTCACACTCACTTCTCCCTCCTGCCGTCCCCGTCTGGTTGGTTCGGTCGAGCCCATCGGGCGTCCCGGTCTGTCAGGACAAATGTGTAGAGTGGGAACAGAATGTCGACCCGTTGTCTGTGCAGGGGTCCTGATTGGAGTCCCCATTCCTCTTGAGCATGCCCTTGATGGGAACGAAGTTGAGAAGCACGTGAAGGAGGCCTTGGAGGCAGGGGAAGCGAGAAGGATCCAGGGGAAGGACGTGACACCCTTCCTCCTCTCCCAGATGCAGCTTCTCACCTGTGGCTCCAGCCTCTCCAGCAGTGAGGGCCCTTATTGTTTAACCCTTTCGTGCATTAATTTTCTGGTTTCATGTTTAAGGTGGTACCCTGCCGTACGAGTGGCGTTCAAAAAGTTCTTGAAACTAGTATTTTATTTACAACGTACACGGTATTTTCAAAATGTTAATACTGCAGTCCTCCGAAGTATTCACCCGGTGATTGCACACACCGACCCAGCGATGAAGGCACTTCTGAAAGGCGTCAGCATATGCTTCTTTGTGTATTCTTTGCAGCTATGAATGAACAGCTTTGGACAGATCTTGGATGCGACTGAAATTTCGTCCTTCCAACTGTTCAGCAAGGAAACAGGCAGAAGTCATAAGGGGCTAGATCCGGGCTATTCGAGCTATAGCCCAGATCTAGCCCAATGCGACCTCTGGCTATTTCCTGACCTTGCCGAACGGTTGGCTGGACGAAATTTCAGTCGCATCCAAGATCTGCCAAAAGCTCATTTAAAAAAAAATTCAGAGCTGCAGAGAATACCCATAGAAGCATATGCTGACGCTTTCCAGAAGTGGTTTCACTGCATGGGTCGGTGTGTGCAATCACAGGGTGAATACTTCGAAGGACTGCAGTATTAACATTTTGAAAATACCTTGTACGCTGTAAATAAAATACTAGTTTCGAGAACTTTTTGAACGCCCCACGTAGTAGTCGCATGTTCTACCGTTAAGAAGTAATGCTGAATAGATTATGTGCCCTGGAGTGGACATCTTGCACGAAAGGGTTAAAAATAAATTTCTTAAGGGAGACAAAGCAGGGACATCCTTTGACCCCAGTCAGCTATAAAATGGAAGTGGTCACCTGAATGTTGTCAAGGTCTTGAAATCTCGAGTCGAGTATTTACCGCTTAGTAGGTAACTTACAGATGACAAATGATTATTAAAAGTTAATTTCCAAAAGGGGGTGAAGTAATTAAAGTTTAAATTCATGTAAGTCTAATGTCATCCTCCGTGGGTTTCCTGTGTTTGTGCTGTTTTTGCTTGGGAATGGAGAGAAGGCTTGGCATTGATCCTGGGAAGGACGTGGAACATGATCTGTGGCTGCGGGTTTGAATTTCTTCCTGCCTTGCCAACCAAACAAATGCATTTCTTTCTTTTTCTCTGGAAATGGACTGTAATTGGAGAGGTAAAAGAGATAATTCAAACTCAGTTTTCACCAAGAGATTGAAACATTAATTCAGCATATGTGGCTACTTATAAATGCGATCGCATTCTAGCCGCTGGACATTCAAGACAATTGGTTCTTTCCTTCCAGATATTGCCCTCATCAAGAACAATGCTAAAGTAGGTGCTGAGATAGCACTACATTTGGCTCACCTCCAATCAGACTCCAGGTGAGTGCCAGAGGAGAAACTCTGTGGGATATTTAAATTTGTACTACAAATGGAATAAAATTGAAAATGCGCTCAAAATATGAACCATTTATATGCAATGTCGGAATATTTAATTCTCAAAATGCTTTAACGGTGAAAAGGAAGCATTTATGGAAAATGGATGTGAAGTACAAGTATTAAGTACTGTTTAAGTGTAAGTATGCCACGTATGTGGGCTTACTTGAGTACCTTTGACGAGTGCGGTGCCATTATTTCTCGAAGCATGCAGGAGTCTTCGTGAACTTCGTTGAGCGAGAGCAAAAATGAATAATAATATTTAATAATAATATATAATAAAACCATTGCATCTCATAGAGATCCTTTTAGCTTCAAGGAGGGATTCATAGTTGCCTGGGGAAAAGGGTGTGTACCCTCAAGTTACACACATGACTTACACATTGTGTAACTCATTGGGCTTACTAATGGAATGAATTTATCCGGGTTTTTCCTTCAGAATAATGCATTCTTCGCTAAATCTTAGTCAATTTTGGATGGTGAATGTCCTTTTACTCGAGATGTAAGAAGCTCGCCTCCGGTACTTACAAGTGCCCTACTACGGACCTCACGAAATTACTGAATGCAAGTGACCACACGAATGACTACTTGCCAACTCGGTGGATGTGTCGGTCGCCTCGATTCGCGATCGTGTATGATATTGCGACGCGCCGAGAGACGCGGAATGTCGCTCGACGTGCCTCGGGAGCGACGCGACCCTGACGTTGCATCGGCCCTCTCACGCGGCGAGAGGCCCCGGAAACGTCCCGTGGGATGATTCCTTCGACGCTGGAAGCGTCTCTCCGCGTGGGGGTTTCCCGGGGATGTCATTGCGTCTCCGTCCGAATGCCGTCCGGCCCCTCTGGCTTCCTTCGTTCTTTTCTTTTTCCCCTTCGAGTGGGTCGGAACGAACCCGAAGCGTGGCGAAAAATGTTCTCCGTCTCCCGACGAGAGACGAGAGCAAGCCCTCGTGCATCGGTACGGTCCATCGGGGATTCCATCGCCTGCGATCGTGGGGCGATACCTTAGAGGAAGTCCCCGAGCTCTGACAGCCACGCGTGACGGTCTACTCCGGCCGGCCCGGAAAGGACCGGGAACCACTCTTGATCCACAAAGAGCAGCGGAGTCTCATGTGTCACTCTCATGCCCCCTTCCTCTCCTTTCCGCATCCTCGCAACAAAAAAAAAAAGAGAGAAAAAAAAAACAGGTTCGAGACAAAAGCCACGCAGGGCTTTCACAGGTTCTAAGAAATGGCTCCCCATTAAGGGCTCGTGCAGGCAGATGGGTCGAATAAAGTACTTCTATTCTGGACAAACCGGAACTCGTTAAGGCTCGCAAGAGGTAAAAATACTCCCCAGGCCTCCGAAAGGAGATCTCTCCGTCGCAATCGCAAACTCTTCCTTTTAGGTGTCTTAATTGTGATATATATCAGGTTTCGAGAACGATATCGAACGAGTTTGTTCGCTCCTTAGAGTCTGGAGTGGATTTCGGCCCACCGTCTCCCATCTCACTCGCACAGTGGCATTCGGGTGGTTCTTCTTTTTCTTCCATTATTTTTTAGGAAGAGTTGTCGGTGGGAAGTGTGACTCCTCTTCGCTACGGTTCTAACGAGAGGACGTCGAGAACCGTTTCGGAAAGGCATTTCCGGCGTTTTCTCCGTCTTCGGATTTTGCGTCGGGTGCATCGTCTTCCCATGGGGCAACCGATTCCTACCCCGTCTTAGCGCTGACGTAACTTTTCTTTAAAAGTCGTCACGGAATCGTCGACGAGGCCGGGGGAGAAAGAGGCCCGTCGGTGTGGATTCTTCCCTCTCGTCGGCCCGGGATCCTCTGGCTTCGGAGAGGCACGCTTTCGCCCTCGGACGTGCGCTGCCTCCTCAAAGTTGCGAGGAGGCCCATGGCTCGTGGGGGATTCCTCGTCCGAGTGGACTGCGTCGCTTCTCCTTTTCGTCTTCGTCAGATATCAGCGCGTTCGTGCGCGGTTCCGTCGTCTCGAGCGATCGGCGAGCCGAAACGGTGCGGCTAAAAAACGTTCGAAGCCGCGTTCGTGCTCGCATGCGACAGGCACAGGGTAGGAGCTTCATACGTGGCAGGAATCACTCGGGGGTTCCGGCGGATCGGGCCGGTGAGGCCGATCGATGCGGTGGGAATGGGAAACGAATCTCTCTAACCGCGTTTGCATGATCCATGGAAGAGGCCGATTGGTCATCGGAGCGGAACTCCGTTTACTCGTAGCCCGCTCGGGCGATTCGGCGCTAGGGAATTCAGAGCGAAGGTTCGTGTACCCAGATGGATTCTCGACGCTTGACGTCATGCTGTCGCGTTTGATTGGGAAGCGCGAGACGGAGTTTTTCCTCTTCGGTGCGAGCTGAAAATATGGGAAAAGTTGGGGGCAATCTCCCGTGTCCTAGATCTTTTCGGTCGAGGAGCCCACCGGGCGCAGCAATTTTCGATCGACGGAGATGTCGACGATCTCTCGGTCGATGCCATGCGAGCCATGCGCTCGGGCGGGCCCATTCGAAAGCGTCGCAGTGATCCCGAGGGACCCATGGCCGAAGGCGGCCCTTTCTCGGAAGGGGTCGACGAGGCGTAAGCGGGAACCGAAATTCCGGTCCCGACGGTTCGCGAGAGGCACGTGGCATCTCTCGTTCGCGAGACGACGGACGAGTCTCGTTCGAGAAGGATGAAAAAGCCTCGGAAAAAAGGGGGCATGGGCTCAGACGCGGCTCTGCCTTTCATATCGCGAAAGCCAGGCTCTCGTGGGAGGATCTCCATCACTGGGATTAGCCGATGGGAAACGGTGATGGAGAACCCGAAGGGCTCTCCGAGGCTCTCATCCGCGTACGAGGTCGAGTGGATTCTCCCGACTCGCGTCGATCGCTGCATGACGTCACGGCAGACCGTCCGCCCGGCGTCGCATGCGGCGGATTCGGAGTCGACGGCGAGGAGATCGCCGATTTTCCTTCTCGCTGGGTTCGTTGTCGCCGCTGTGATCGTCCGAGAGGATGCCGAAAAACGAGGAATTTTCTCGAAATATGACGGAAGGGAAGCGGGGTCGCTTCCTCGGACGATTCCATTCGTCGGGTGGAAGAGTCGCGTGCCGCTATTTGCCTTTCCCTCTCCTCATAAAAAGAGGGGGGGAGGGGGGTTAGCGGAGGAGGGATTGGGGGAATCCCCCTTCCACACGCGGTGCACAATAAGTGGGTGCACCCTAACCCTCACCCTTACTTACCCTAACCCACCTTACCTCAGCGGCGGCTCGTCACGTCCGCCTGGTACGAGCGACTGGAAGCTTGCTTTTTCGTTTTTATCTTGCACTCTTTGCGTATCGGAGTCGACATCATTGCGACCTGGAAGTTGAACACGACGCTGCGTCCAAGAATAACTCTGAATGAAGAGTAATAATTTATTAAGGCAAAGCGCGTGTCTACCGGCTTGCAAATATGCATTTTCATTCTCATGTCTTCCTAAGACCTCATAAAATCTCATTTCCTCGACTGCTTTCTAGTCCCGTATCCTTGTCGTGCATATTTGATGACACATCAGCTCGGGTCTCGTTCTCTCTTCAGGGAAGCCAGCTTCCGAGAATCTCCGCAGCCACCTGCACCGCTCCTCTCCTCTTCCCCCCGCTCGCGAGACGGTCGACACGCAGAGGAGGGAGGTCGACACGGAGAGGAGAGAGGTCGACACGGAGACGAAGGAGGAAGCCGGATCTCTTTACGGGGCCGACCCGTGAGTGCCTCCTCTCACCCGTCTTTCCTCGCTTGCCGCGCGCGACGAGTCCGGGGAAAGGACAAAATGGTCCAGGAAAAGACCAAATCCGGCTTACACTTCCTTCCGGTACTTTCTCGGGGACCATCCGGTCGATGTCCGGACGGAAGGACGCTATCGTTTCACCGCATGCACCGTCGGCGGCTCGGAAGAAGATCCCTCGCCTCTCGTGCGGACGAACGATAAATTTGGAGCGAAAATCTGAAATTCCCGGTCGGATTGTAAACCCCCGAAAGTATAAAAAATGGAGTTTCCACCCAAACCCGAACCGGCTAAAAAATTTGGCAGCGAGATTCAGCATGAAATATGGATGCCCTGGGTCCCTTTAGACTCGTGCCAGCATTTCGCCTTGCGATTCCGGTCTCCCCCTTTTTCTCCTCTCCTCGCGGCTCTAGACATGTAATGCATGTACAGGGTGTCCGAAAATTAACACTTCGGGGGGAAAACGCAGAAGTAACTTTCAAATATATATACGGTTATTTATTTGCGATACAGTAACTCACCGAATCTATTTTAGCGATTCAGATATGTGAAGAAATCCGATGGAGTGGATTCAGGGAAGTCGTTCGATCGTGAAAGCAAAGCGCGGATTTCAACGTGTGCGACTGAATCGCGCTTTGCCTTTTTTTTTCTTCAAATCCCTGAGGCGCGAAAAGGTTATTTTATGGGCAAGGTCATTTCTATTTCTTCCTGCACCGATCATTTTTGAGCTCCCTGTGTAGTGTAATCGTTAAGTTCGCATTAAAAAAGAAATAATGTCGAGAATTTAAAGCTTCATTTGCCGCAATATTTCTTCGCGGAATCTTCCACCAATGGTGATTCAGCCGCACGTCTGACCTAGAAACGCAGAGAATGATTTCCAGCGTTTCCAGACCCATTGTACTTCGTCGCAGATGTGAATGATGATATCGTCAAGAATGAAGAGCACATTCATAGCAGGACAACGAGCCAGAAGCCCTTGTAAAAGCTCTCTCGTCACCGTTCATGATGAAGGGGAGGAAGGGCGAGGGGGAGGAAGGGTGAAGGAGAGGAAGGCTGAAGGGGAGGAAGGGTGAAGGAGAGGAAGGATGAAGGAGAGGAAGGCTGAAGGGGAGGAAGGATGAAGGAGAGGAAGGCTGAAGGGGAGGAAGGATGAAGGAACTCGGCAGATTCCACCGCTTCCCCTGGCCTTAATAATCCATTCATTACTGGTGGCAGAAAGAGCTGCCAAGACATTAATAAAATTATCAGCCTAACATGACTACTCTCTTTTTTTTTTTCTTTGGGTATTCCTATTATATCAGTTGGTCGCATGATACTTTACCGTGCCATGGTTCGAAAGTCTAAGGCCAGATGGAAGACGTCTGCCCTCGTGCGAAAATCGAAAATCGAAAATAAAATTTCATAATGAAATGAATGCACTCACGAAATTAGAGATCGTCGGCGATTACACTCTGACCAAAGTGGAAACCTCGGAAACGATTTTCCACGCGTCTGCGTCGTCTCCCGATTGCGACTCGTGCGAGTAGAGAAACGGCGGAGCTGCGGAAAGCTTTTACTCGGGGGTTAATCCCCGAGTAATTACTCGAGGTGAAATGAGGAATGTGACGTCCGGGCGATGATACGGATTTGAGATTTTTCCGCGAGCTCGACGTTAGTTGGTCCCAGGAGGCCGAGCGAGCCTCCGAGGCCCTCACAGGCCATCACAGGCCCACCGGATGAGGAGTTGCACTCTTCGCACCGTGCCGGATTTGAAGCGAAGAACAATGCATTATTTAAAATATATTGAAGAATTCCAGTAGTTATTACTGCGAGTGCTGCAATTTCGCTACGCGAACGGGAACTCGGACAGGGGAGTTCCCTCACGAGCCGGGACGGAATTACCCCAATTACCCCAGTTACGAAAAGGCGGGGCCAAAAGGCGTTTGGGAACCGTCTCGGCCGCTCCTCTCTTCGTGCCACCGCGATGGC